AGGTAAATCATGAAAGGGAAAGAATTATCCAACTAACTTGAGTCTTGTCATATATTTTAATGTATTACATGCTGTTACAGTGCTGTAAGCCATATTTTTAACATAGTAATTCAAGCCATTCTTTTTGATGTCTGGCAGAATTGCACAGTAAGTATTGGTAGTTTTAACCCACATTTGGATTAAATTTCCTCTGCAGAATTATCACATGCAAATTTCATTCCATTGTTCAATATGTACAAAGAACTGTAATTCCATTGCATTATTCTGAACAGACACATTGGAATTAAAGGCAAGTGCAACGTTTAAGTAATTTCTCTAAATCTAGCACAAGTGAATGAATATATTAAGCATGGCACAGAGTGAAAGATCAGAAACTGTGATATGTGAAGGAACATTCCAGAAATTAAAACTGTTGTACCCATCAGGGTGAACAGATGATATGATGAAGGCTTCATTTCTACATATGAAGTGGGATTGAAAATGAAGACCTTTCAGGCCATCTGATCTCATCCTTCCATCACAGCATTAATTTTTAAATGTGTCCAGTGTCCTGGCCTCAACCATTCTTCCAAGCAACCTGTTTCAGTCACTAATTACCCTCTGGGCAAGGAAGAACTTCCTGTTGCCTGTCCTGAGATTACCCTTTGCAACTCTAAAATCTTATAATACTGTTTTGATGCATCCTAGAATATTGTTCTGGATTTACTTTTTCAATCCCATTTAAAATTTTATGCACCTCCATATAGTCACTTCTGAGTCATCTTCTCTCAAGACTGAAGAGCCCTAGCTTATCTAATTGTTGCTTTCAGCTCATTCCTTTAACACTGAGGATCATCCTTGTTGCTATCTGGTTGCCTCCCTATTTGTGGTGACTAGAACTCTGTGCAATAATCTCCATGTGGCCTCCAAGAGCAATTTACAGCTATTGAATGATTCAAGGGAGCTTTGAATGGCACCCTTCCAAAGCTCTAGAGTTACTGGTTTGGCTGAAGTTGATGAGTAAATGAACTAAAACATAAATCTGCTTCTCTGACTCTGCTCAAGTCAATTGCATAATTTATGGAAGGAAACCATGGCATTGTGCATCTGGGTGATAAGATTTTCACAAGATCGCAAAAGAAGTTTGGATGAAGAAGGCCGTTTAGCTCACTTTTCAGAACCGCTACTCTTGTACCTGATACTTATTAGTGGGAACATTAACAAAGATAAAAATTAATAATTTAACTCTTTAGGTACTGTTTACTGGTTTAAAACTGTAGTACTTCCTGTAGTCAGTCAGGATTATTCAAGCAGTGGTCGTTCAAATGCACTAGAGAATAGGATTAGACAATATGAACAATATTGACATAATTAACGACTTGATGAATAAAGACCCTTTCTGTACAATGAGTTTTAAATTACAGTACTCGCTATTGACTCTTCCACCAACAAAGCTGCCCCAGGTTAAGCACTTATCATTTGACCCATGTGTTTGTTCAGCACAGTATTTGTCAATGAAGACTGACAGCAACAGGTGTGAAGGGCTGCAAGCTTTTCAAAACTAACTCATGAAAGTTTGAATTCTTGTTCTCCCAAGAATTTAACACCACACTACCAAAAAGGTGGGCCATTACAATTCTTCAGCGGGATAGTAATGCAAAAACAGCTGCTAATGAAAGTAAGCTTGCTACCATTCAACCATTCCTTGCCTTTTGCAAGAAATGATATAATGGCAGTACCTAACGATACTTTCTTAGAAAATACTAAATGGGTCAACAATGCAACAATGTTACTATTCAAAGACATTTAAATAGAATTCTTACACAATCTCTTTCGAGTTACTGTAATGAAAAAGTTCTATTATTGTCCATATAAAAGAAAAATACATTGAGGAAAATAATCAATACTTTCAGATCATAGTCACTGGAAAATAGGTCTGCAGGTATGATCTGATTTTTTAACAAATATCAACCTTACTGAACTTCATCTCAGACTGTGCCAAAACTGGACACCTGTCAGAAATTGTAAATATTCTTCATCACCTATTAATTTTTAATTAAACCTACCACCAATTTCATTTTAAATTCAAAAACTAAATGTTCACAGGAAATAAAATAATTAGTAAATTGAACTGGTCTTATGGTCCAACAGTGACATCTGTCGCAATACAGTGTATCACCTGCAATGAGTTTCTACCTGAGTGGAAACATGCCAATATAAAACAGGTACTAAATACAGAAAGTTAAAAAGAACTCTATTTGCTTAGAATTAATCCAAGCAAAAGAGAATGAATTATCTTAAATACAATATCTGTAGCATATTTGAGGACATATTCCCTTTAATAATGACAACTTTGCTAAGAAAAATTAAACTTTAAACTTATTAGATATTGAAGATACAGTATTTGGGTTTATGCCATTTTTCAAAAAATATAAAACTCAGCACAAATATTTATAACCGGCATTAATAAAAATGATTTCCTCCCGGACATTTTTTCTTCTGAGCTGTAAACATTTTATTCCAGAAATCTATACAATGATGTCTCAACTTAACATAATCCAGAACAGCCAGCATGAATGATCTTGGTTATGAAAATATGATCCTATGATACTGTAACTGTATTATATAAAAATGAAGCCATTTTCTACGGAAAACTAGAACTTACTACAGACTTGTCAAATACTTCCGCTTCATTTTAAAATATCAGTATGTGAACTACTAGCTTGTATATTTTATTTCCCCACAGCTTTCTCATATAATGCATGATTGCATTTGTGGACTAGTATCTCCAAACGTATTGAATATGTTTGATATATTACACTCCAGACTGACATTTTTGCAAAATTGATTTCCTGAACATAATCTGCCTGTTGGCAAACATTGAAAATGGCTCATAAAAGCATTAAAGCTACACACCATCACAATCTTACTTTATATTCTTGGTAACAGTTGATTAGAACAGAAGATTGTGGTGTGTGTTTTGAATTGACGTCTTGTATCACTAGTGGCATCATTATAGATGACATATCATCAGATAATGCCTCCTTAAAATAGCGCTTTCTTCAATTCTGTCTGTCCTGTCTGGTTCTGGCCTATCCAACCCTGTGTTCACATACAAAAGTCCTTCTTTAAAAGTTTATGTAGTGGGGAAACAATGGTATTTCAGTGTTGAGTTACCCACCCAAATATTTACTGGATATGAATTGACTTGACGTGAATTGCCCAGAAAGCATCTTTTCCAATCAATCCCTCAGAAGTTCTGAAAATGTCATTTAAGTTGCAAATGCTGTAGCTTGACTACAGAGGGGAGAAACTGGTCATCAAGAAGTACTAAAGTTGTTCCTGATCTGGAACTGGCTACTAGCATGATACAATCAGAATGCGATGATCTGTCAAAGTCTCGAATGTTTAACTTAATGGCTATGAGCCATTTCCTACTAAAGCTTTAACCCGCCAAAGAAACAAAATGCCATAGAGAGATAATTGCAGGAGCACTTAGCAGCAAAACATCTTTCAAATAGGTTGTGAGTTACAAATGCCTTTTGCAAAGGGAAAAAAACATAAGAGTATTTTTAAACAACCTAACAATTTGGCAAAAACAATAGGAAATAAATCTTTATTGGAGAAAACCACACAAGATTTTATTATGATATAATCTCACATCTTCAAACAGCAGCCAATATTTGTGTTGTTTAGGGAGTGTATTATTTTGAGTGTTTTGTGAAAATTGTGGCATCATGTAGATGTATTAGATCCAAGAAAAAAATATTTTTTTATTCTAAATACTCTAAATGGCTACACTTCCATAAAATAAGCCAGTTATTTGTAAGTGTATCTTTAGTTGTGTACATTTTTAATAACAGAATAAGAGTAGAACCACTGGCCTGCAAATTTAAAGTACATATAGCTCCTATGCTCCTATTTGCTTACCTCATTACAGATTTCTCCATAAATTGTGAGCATCCATTCAACTCTATATAGACTGCAATCTGGTAAGGTCCTTTCAAAGGGTTTTATATACTCAGGGAAATAAAGAGCAAGATGAAGTAGAAAATTTAAGACCAGTTAAAGATGAAGGAGAGGTTAAACAAAGAGATACTTCAGGTTAGAGGCCGATGGGAAGGGCTAAAAGAGCAATGGGGACAAATGGTGAATTCTGGGTATGAGATAAGAGGCAATATAGGAAAATAACAGAGTTTTTAACATTGCTCCATAATGTACATGAATAACTGGAATAATAACACAATTTCCGACAATGATTTAATTAGTATAAGTGATTCTCTAAAGTTTCAGAAATTTACGTATTTTAAAGAGTAACAATGCCTTATTCTCAGCTGGTCCATAAATTTTATACTACTTGAGTACTATTTGTCTACATTAGAGTACGGGAAACATTATTTTGTGCAGATGTTGTCTTTATGCAGGTAACCTGTATAACTATCTACGACTGACACCAAAAATAATGAAACCTGAGTTCAATTCCAGACAGGGCGAAACCTTGGGCAAGTTTCCGTACTCCACACGCCTAATAATAATCCCTCCAAAGCCAAAAACAATAATAAATTGGTCATTTTCAATCTACGACTGTTTGTGGGACATTGCTGTGCACAATTGGCTGCCGGGTTCGCCCACAAATATACAGTCAATTCACTTTACAGTGTGTTCTGTGAAGCGCTTTGGGACGTCCTCCCGACGTGAAAAGCGCTATATCAAATGCAAGGATTATTATTATTATTATGCAATTGAATCATGGCCATCATTTCGCTAGTTTCTATTGAAGCATAAAACATGTCTGAAATAGACCTCCTCAGTCTTATCTATTCTTCACGTATCAACCGAAAAACACAATCAACCATTCTCTTAATTGGAGAGTGGAAATTGACAGCTGCATTTCGACAGCTTTTGGGGGTTTTTTTTGGGGGGGTGGGGGGGCTCACGCGTAATCCGCATCACAGTATAGTTGAACCCAATAATTGCACAGCATTCGTAAAAAGGCCAAAAAAAAATAATAGTTTACTTAC